TAAAACTGTTGGTGAAACTACTCGACTTCTACAACCTGCTATTGATACCATCTTTCAGAATGCTAAGAACAAAGGATTGACCCTATCACGGATAAAAACACGATGTATCCATTTCTGTAGGCTTAGACGACCACACTATGATCCACGCCTCTGTCTCAGCAATGAACGCATACCCTGTGTGTCTTCTGTAAAATTCCTAGGCCTAACACTCGACAGTAAACTGACATGGAGAGAACACATTGAGGATCTTACCAACAGGTGCAAGAGAGCCCTAAACCTAATAAAATGCCTGTCGTCAACACGATTCGGAGCAGAAGCTGAGATGCTGTTGCGGATATACAAGAGCATCATTCTATCTAAGCTTGACTACGGTAGCATTGTTTACTCATCTGCAAGACCGCCACTGCTTAAAAACTTGATACAGTTCACAACCAAGGATTACGTCTCTGCCTTGGAGCATTTCGTACAAATCCAGCAGCTAGCCTCTATTGCGAATCCGGAGTTGAACCTCTATCCATTAGACGTAAAAAACTTGCACTATCGTATTCTGCACAGATTCAAACACGACCATTCCATAGAAACTTTTCTATCATTTTCAGTACGGATGAGAGCTACATCTGTCGCCCCACAATAACAAGACCTCTCAGAGTCCGAGTTAAACAATATGCCGAGGAAATTGGTATATCATGTAACCCTATCTATAATGTTAAACACAGAGAATCTCCTCCATGGCTGTCACCCAAAATAAATGTGAATCTCGAGCTGACTGCACTATCTAAGAATGACCATCCATCTGAACTCATAAAATCACGTTTTATGGAAATCGTTTCTAGATATCCGGCAGCAACAGTTATCTATACAGATGGATCGCGAACTGACAGTGGTGTCGGCTGTGCTATAGTAGTCGATCAAACTGCACATCAATGGACACTATCACCAATAGCATCCATATTTACTGCTGAACAATATGCTATTTGGCAGGCCCTACGATACTGTGACATGTCGAATAACATAACAACAGCTATTATAGCTAGTGACTCGCTCTCAGCACTTCAAGGCCTAATGAACTATGCATCTCGAGATTCCTTAACTGTGATGTGTCTTGAAACTGTCAAACATCTCTTAAATAAAGGGGTAAACGTAAAATTTCTGTGGTTGCCAGGACACGTTGGTATACAGGGGAATGAAGCTGCTGATATGGCAGCGAAAGCAGCAGCAGCGCAACAAAACATCGACATCCCTGAAATAAAAATGTCTGATCATAAAAACTACCTCATAAACCGTATACTGGCAAATTACATGGGGTAACACTGATACCCCCACTTAAGACAGATAAAACCTAGTGTAGGATTATGGCCACATCCTATCAGACTGCCACGAGAGGAATGGGTGCGCATACATCGCTTACGCTTTGGCCACACACGTCTTACACATGCACATCTTTTGCTCGGAACAGATCCGCCCTTGTGCACTGGATGTAACTCTTCACTCACTGTACGCCACATTATCTGCACATGTCCGATATTGTCCCAATATCGAGTGATCTATGGACCATTTGATAACCTGACAGAGAGTCTCACACAACCAGAAAAACTGAAAAACGTCATATCATTCTTAAAAGTATCTGGTTTCTATTGGAAGATCTGACCTAATGAACTTTTTGGAAATGAACCATTTTAATTTTTGTGTATCTTATTCTCAACTGAGATTAAATGAATGTTATGTAACGATGATTTTGCATCATACCTACCTTAGCTTAGTATTGTTATCTTGAACTAAAAGAAATATGTAACAATAGAATTAGATAAATCGAAATACTTACGTGAACGCAAACAAGATCGTAAAATGCAGATAATGACAAAAAAAATTAATATTAATGAATATATGCCAGACAAATTTAGTCGTGTAACATTTCCCAGAGATTATCTTTTGTTGCTAATAGAATCTGAAAGTAAACGACAATAGTATATCCTTTTCGATTAATATCTGGAATTTGCGTAGCTGGTTTTTTAAAAATGCGACACTTACCACTTAGACATGTAAGAGATTATATATTTTATACTTTAGATTTATATATTATATTTATATATTATTGAATACGGCTAATAACCAGAGAAGTTGACGCCGTCAAAAAAAAAATAATAATGATAATAGTAATTATAATTATAATAATAATAACAATAATTATAATAATATTAATAATAATAAGAAGAATAACTATAATAATAATTATAATAATAATAATAAGAAGAATAATCATAATAATTATAATGATAATAATAATAATAATTATAATGATAATAACAATAATAATAATAATAATAGTAATAATTGTTGGAACGCGTACTAGCGTCACCCCGCCGCGCCGCTACTGGCGAGACGACCAGACAGGTTGCCTAACCTAGAAGCTTGTAACCGCCGTCCTGTCCCCGCGCGCCGCACCTCGGAATGCAGTCAGTCGTGATGAGTCAGTCGTGGGAAGCAGTCGAAGTACAGCAGCCAGCACACGCGCGCGGATCGCGGAACGCGGAAGCCCGATCTACACCTGTCGCTTATCTAGCCATCCATGTACATGTAATCAATAAACTGTTCTGAACCGAAGACCACTGCGAGTTGAATTGCTCTGCTTACCTATCCTCAACAGGTTACGTGCCCAGAGACAGTGCTACGGACATTGAACAATTATTGCAAGTGCTGAAGATAATATAGGAAGTGTGTGACTAGTGTTATCAAACATGAGTGTGGCAAAAGTATCCTGTATAGACTCGCTTAGCAGGGATAACTACGACACGTGGAAAATACAGATGAAGGCATTGCTGGTAAGAAACGATCACTGGAGTTATGTATCTGGCGAGATAAAGCAGCCACGGCTAGATGATGGGGACAAAGCATCCACGAGAGCTGTAGAAGCCTGGACTAAAGGTGACAGCAAGGCGATGTCGGACATAATTTTGTCAATAAGCCCCTCAGAAATCAAACAGGTAAAGAACTGTAATACATCCAAGGAACTGTGGCAAAAGTTGGAGGGTATTTACCAATCAAAAGGACCCGCTAGAAAGGCCACATTGCTCAAACAGCTTACACTGCAACGTATGGAAGAGGGACAGGACATACGATGTCATTTAAACTCATTTTTCGATGCAGTTGACAAGTTAAATGACATGGATGTAGAAATCAATGCAGATCTATTAGCGATAATGCTACTGTATAGCCTGCCAGCCAGTTTTGAAAACTTCAGGTGTGCAATTGAGTCTAGAGACGAATTACCATCCCCGGAAATTCTTCGAATAAAAATCATAGAAGAGTATACTGCGCGGAAAGGCGACGTTCGAGAAACGGAAGGCGCCATGTTCGTGAAGCGGAATTATGGGAAAAATCACGGTCACGCAGGAAATGGCGGACGGGGCAGTGGCGTCTCTGAAGGTACACGAGGCAGCGGCGTCTCGGAAGGTGCACGAGGCAGCGGCGTCTCGGAAGGCAGAAGAACGTTCAGGTATAAGTGTCACAGATGCCGAAAAGTAGGCCACAAGGCCGCTGAATGTCCAGACAAAGGTAAGACTGTTGCCAATTCTTACAAAAGTGAAGCGAACTGTTCCGAACACGTGGGACTCGTTACCGCGGAATGTTATCATGTTGAACAGAATCACAAAAGACTGAAATGGTGTCTAGACAGTGGCGCAACGTCTCACTTATGTAAAGACATTAGTTGTTTTTCTGACTTTGAACGTAGACATGATCATTTGAATTTAGCAAATAGTGAATTTACGGACATTACAGGTTCCGGAACAGCTACGTTTGTTGCTGACGTTTTTGGCGACACGAAAAACATCTCACTCCATAAAGCTTTTCATGTTCCCGACCTAAGAGTAAACTTACTTTCTGTTGCAAAGATTACCGATAAAGGATTTGAAGTTTTATTCAAGAAAGAAAATGCTTTGATCTATGATAGTAATGGTGATATAAAAGTTGTAGCCGATCGTAGTGGCGATTTATACTACGCGAGAGAAGGCGAAGCGCAGAATAAATCAGCTTTCATTTCGACCATGAATTCTAAAAATGTCAAACTATGGCATCGTAGATTAGGACATTTGAACTTTCAGGATTTGAATTCTTCATTGAAGAAAGGAAGATTAGGTGGAATAAATATTGAAAATATGCCTAATAATGGGGAACTTAATTGCGAAATTTGCATACGCGGAAAAATGACGCGTTCACCATTCCCGAAGAAGTCCGACAGGGAATCGGAAATGCTAGAAATCGTACATACTGATGTTTGCGGTCCCATGCGAGTAGAATCTCACTCGAAGTACAAATATTTTGTCGAATTCATAGATGATTATTCTAGGTATTGCACGGTATTCTTCATGAAACATAAAAATGAAGTTGTGCGAAAGACTCAGGAATATATTACACTGGTCGAAAACCAAAAGAACAAAAAGATAAAGTGCATCCAATCTGACAACGGGACGGAGTACACATGTAAGGAAATGGAGGATCTCCTGAAAAAGCACGGAATTTCACGTCGCTTGACTTGCCCATACACTCCGGAACAGAACGGTATAGCGGAGAGGAAGAACCGCACTCTCTTGGATACAGCACGTTGTCTAATCATGCAGTCCGGCTTACCTCCGATCTTTTGGGCTGAAGCCATCAACACGGCCAACTATTTGCGGAACAGATGTCCATCCAAAAGTCTGAACGGGTTAACACCATACGAAAAGTGGACTGGAAAGACTCCCGACGTTTCGCATCTCAGAGATTTTGGTTGCAAGGTCTTCTGTCTAAACCAAGATCAGGCCAAGGGGAAGCTAGACGCAAGATGTAAGGAAGGAATTTTCATAGGGTATTCGGAACAAACGAAAGGATACAAGATCTGGTTGCCGAAGGAGAATAAATTCGTAATCACGAGGGATGTTAAGTTCTTGGAAAACGCAGAAGTCACATGCCAAGAATGGACAGATTTTATTCTGGAAGGATCATCCAAGGAGAATGAATCTGAGATGCATACTATCGAGGTACAGCTATCCCCAGTTGTCGAGAACGAAAATCCAGAACATGAATCTCCTACAACGGAACAAGAAGAGCCCGAGGTTGATCACGATTCTGAGCCACCCAGGCGTGCCCGCGGGAGACCCAGAATTCGGCGAACTGGTTCGAGGGGAAGACCTAGAAAGATATACAGGTACAGGACACCCCCGAGAGGTTCAGCACTCTCTTCTGAAGAGGTATTACTGTCCGAGGTCCCGATGCATCAGGCAGTCAGAGGCGAGGACGCTGACGAATGGCACAAGGCGATGGCAGACGAAGTGGCATCTATCTTGAAAAATGGTACTTGGGAATTAATCGACCGACCATGTAACCAGCACATCGTTGGAAGCCGTATTGTCCTGAGAAACAAGTACAAGCCTGATGGAACTATCGAAAGGAGGAAGGCAAGACTAGTCGCTCGGGGATTTAGCCAAAAGCCCGGAACACATTTCAACGAGACTTTTGCCCCTGTAGCAAGGCTTAGCTCCATAAGACTTGTATCTGCCCTAGCAGCACATTTAAATATGGACATGCAGCAACTGGATGTTACCTGCGCATACTTAAATGGAAGTCTAGATGAGACGATTTACATGGAAACCCCCGAATATTTGGATGAATCATTGAAGATTATTTGTGATAACTCCAAATACAACGAGGCTACCAGAAAGAAGGCTCGAGATACCTTGAACACACTGGGAAAAGGTGATAAAGTATGTCTACTTAGGAAGTCACTATACGGCCTGAAGCAAGCCGGTCGGAGCTGGTATCAGAAACTAAGCCAGACACTTAGTGAATGCGGTGCAAATCCAACTAAGTCCGACCCATGTGTATTCACCAGTAAAACAGGGAAAGACATTATGATAATTGTCACTTATGTAGACGATCTGATTATCGCATCACGTGACAAAAAGGCAATATCGTCCCTAAAAGCCAAATTATCTGAAAGATTTGAAATGAAAGATCTGGGATCAGTTAATCATTGCCTAGGGATGGAATTTTCACTAAAGAAAAACAAGATAAGTCTAAGCCAGAGAGCATATATCTTGGAAATACTAGATCGATTCAACATGGCGGATGCGAACACTGTAAGCACTCCACTTGATCCAGGAACGAAGTTAAGGAAACCGACGGAGAGCCCATCTAGTGAAGAGCTGAAGTTACCTTATAGGGAGCTTATAGGTGCGCTAACCTATCTATCGTTGGGAACGAGACCCGATATTAGCTTTGCCGTAAGCTACTTAGGACAGTTCAACAACTGTTACACTAAGGAACACTGGACAGCCGCAAAGCGAGTACTTAGGTATCTGAAGGGCACCATCGATCACTCGATAGTATACCAACGAGAAGACATGAATCTGAGAGGATTCGTTGATGCTGATTGGGCAAACTGCCCTGACGATAGGCATTCGTATACCGGATTCTCATTCATCCTATCAGGCGGACCCGTATCGTGGGAATCGAAGAAGCAAGCCACAGTGGCATTGTCTACCACCGAGGCGGAATATATGGGTACCACCGAAGCTGCCAAGGAAGCAATCTACTTGGGCAAGTTTATGACCGAACTTGGGTTCGAAAGACTCGCTAACGTAACCCTGTATAGCGACAATATGAGTGCTATAAAATTGGCCGAGAACCCTAGATATCATTCCAGAAGTAAGCACATCGACATACGTTACCATTTTGTGCGGGAGGCCTTGGAACAGAAGAAGTTTAAGTTGAAGCATACACCATCTTCTGAAATGGCCGCAGACGTATTGACGAAGGGGTTGTCGAGGACAAAACATCGGAAGTGCATGGAACTTTTGGGATTACAGACGACGGACCAGAACCTGTATGTGTCTGCTACGTCTCGAGGGGAAGTGTTGGAACGCGTACTAGCGTCACCCCGCCGCGCCGCTACTGGCGAGACGACCAGACAGGTTGCCTAACCTAGAAGCTTGTAACCGCCGTCCTGTCCCCGCGCGCCGCACCTCGGAATGCAGTCAGTCGTGATGAGTCAGTCGTGGGAAGCAGTCGAAGTACAGCAGCCAGCACACGCGCGCGGATCGCGGAACGCGGAAGCCCGATCTACACCTGTCGCTTATCTAGCCATCCATGTACATGTAATCAATAAACTGTTCTGAACCGAAGACCACTGCGAGTTGAATTGCTCTGCTTACCTATCCTCAACAATTTGATTATTATTATGATGATTATTAGTATTATGATATTATTGATATTAGTATTATTATTATTAGATTATTATTATTATTAATTATTATTATTATATGGTATATTATGGGTAGATAGTATGGTAGATATTAGAGTATTATTATTATTATGATTATTATTATTATTATTATATTATTATTATTATTATGATTATTATGGTATATTATTATATTATTATTATTCTTATTTGATTAGAGTAATAGTAGATTATTTTATTCTTTAAAAATTTGACATTCAGTATTATTATCTTTTCTTTTTCTTATTTTATTTATTATTTATTCTTATTTATTCTATTATTTTTATTTTATTATTTATTTTCCACAGCCCTATCTCTTCAACTGGTTCTGTCCATGTGGGCCGGTTTTGGTTGGTCATTTTCATTATGGTACTTCGAAGATGTTACCCACATCCTAACGAAGTCCATTACCTTATAGTGTCTACGTTATGGTTGCTGTACCATACAAAGCAATTTCCTGCACGTCTGCTGTCCTGTGCCTTCCTGGTATGAGATTTAGGTTTTCATGTAGATTGTCTGGGATCGTCCCTAATGCACCTAAAATTACGGGAACTATCTTCGTCCTCAGATTCCACATTCTTTGGATTTCAATTGAGAGATCTTTGTATTTCAATTTCTTTTCAGCTTCTTTGTTTACAACGTTTTCATCGTTGGGGACTGAAAACATCTATTAGCAGGCAGGTTTTGTCACGTTGGTTTTTGACGATTATGTCTGGACCGGTTCGCGGATATCTCACGATCTGTTTGCACTGGTAAGTCATATATTATGGTAATCTCATCTTTACTAACTACTGGAGTGGGATTGTGATTATACCATTTTTCTTCCACTGCGATCCCAAAGCTTATACAGATGGCATGATGCAAGTATATGCATATTTTATTATGTCGGACCAAGTACTCGTGCTTCGCCAGTTGAGGACAGCCGGATATAAGATGATCTATTGTTTCTGAGTATTGTTTGCACATTCGACATCTATCATTGCTGTTATTTTGAGGATATGTTTCTCATAATGTCTTGTACGTAGGGCCTGGTCTGGGCGGCCGTTATCAGGGCCTCTGTTTCACCTTTTACCTTCCCTCTCGTGAGCCACGCAAACGTTTGGCATTCATTAATCCCTGGCCTCTTAATTCTCTTCACGTATTGACCATGAAGCTGCTTTCGTATCCATTTATCCTCAAGGTCTTCCTTGTCATGGCCTTAATATCTGTAGATAGTAATTCTTCTTCATCCTCGACCGCTTGATTTTCTATTTCCGGTAAATGTGTCTTTACAATTTTATCGCTGACTTCACTACTGACTTTCCAACTCGAGGGGTGCCTTTCACATCTCCAAATTTGTCTAACTAACTTATCATTTCTACGGCTTCTTAAATAATTGGCTATGGATACAACTGTATTATCATAAGTCATCTCTAATTGCCTGAGTCCTCTACCTCCTTCTTTACGACTCACATATAGCCTGTCTACATCAGCTCTAGGATGCAGCTTGTCCATGAATAGTAAGCATCTTCCTTGTTTTACGATCTAGGTCTGCAATTTCCTTCTGACTCCAATCTATGATTCCAAAACTGTATTCTACTATTGGAACAGCTATACTGTTGATGGCTAGCAGTTTATTTCGTGCTGTTAAGTCTGAACGTAGTACCATCCTAAGCCTTCTTAGATATTCTTTACTGATGGTCTCTTTCATTTCATCATTACACAATTCTGGGTTTTCATAAACTCCAAGATATTATAGCTTCTCCAGCATCTAGGTTTTTGATGGTAATATTTGCCTGGACTGTTATGTTTTCCGTTTTTTCCACTTTTCCGTTCTTTATTGTCGCTTTGGCGCACTTATCTAATCCGAAGTTCATATGAATTGTGCTACTGAAGTCGTGAACTATCTTAATTTGCTCTTCAAGCGCTGTGTCCGAACTCGCGTATAGCTTTAAATCATCCATGTACAGAAGATGTGGTGTTGGCTGCTCATCTTTGAGTAGTTTATATCCCCAACTTTGGCTTTTGATTTAGCATTCTGGACAGGGGGTACATCATCATGCAGAACAGGAGAGGTGATAGTGAATCTCCTTGGAATATTCCAGATCGATTTTAATCTGCGGGGTATTATTATATATTATTATTCTTATTATTATATTATTATTATTATTATTATTATTATTATATTATATTATTATTCTATTATTATTATTATATATTATTATTATTATTATTATTCTTATTATTATTATTATAATTATTATTATTATTATTAATATTATTATTATTATTATTATTATATTCTTATTATTATTATATTATTATTTATTATATTATTATTATTATTATTATTATTATTATTATTATATTAATATATATTAATTATTATTATTATTATTATTATTCTATTATTATTATTATTATATTATTAATTTATTATTATTATTATTATTATTATTATTATTATTATTATATTATTATTATTCCGTTTTCTGTTAGCTATTCTCTGCTACTGCAGGTGGTATCCTCAAACGCGGCATTATACTGCAAGCGTCTGAGTGTGACTATTGGTTTCTCTTTGTCTATGTGGCTACATTCAGGACCTTGCGTGCTATATGACAACTACCTAAGATAGCAGCTTTCTGAAGTGAGAGGTATAGTTTCTGCGGCAGATTTAGTTTCTCAATATATTTATGTAGACTCTTAGGTATTTCTCCTGTGGCTCCGATCACTATTGGGATGACTTCAACTTTTTCTTGATTCCACAATGTTTTTACTTCTGCAGCTAGTGGTAAGTACTTGCGAACCTTTTCTGTCTGCTTCTCAGCTATGTTATGTGGGGCAGGCACACTAATGTCAATTATGCAGGTAACTTGCTTCATTTTATCTTGAATTACGATATCTGGTTTGTTGTATTCCATGGTGTGATCTGTTTGAATTGTTCTATTCCAGTATATTTTATGGCTGTTAGTTTCTATAACTGGAGTCGGCTGGTACTTGTAATATGGGGTGCGGTCAGTTAGTATGTTCGCAGCATAACAAATTTCTTGGTGAACTATTTTAGCCACGTTGTCGTGGCGCTTCAGATACTCAGTGGAAGCTAGGGGAGTGCAGCTCGTCAGGATATGCTCTATTGTTTCCGACTTGTTATGGCATATACGACATCTATCTTCAATGCCTTCTTCTTTCATGATGTATTTTCTATAGTTTAAGGTTGGTATCACCTGATCTTGAATGCCAATCATGAAAACCTTCAGTTTCCGAAATAGCTCCCCACTCTTCAGCCATCCGTGTGACGCTTCTGCATCAATGTGATCTGAGCTGAGCATGGCTGGATGTCTTCCATGAAGCTGTTGGACTTCCATTGATGATACCATTGTTCGTCGGTGGTCACATGGGTTAGAGGTTCATAATGTTCATCCGACAGGTTCAGTGGTGTGAACTTGTAGTCAGCTGAAGCTATATTTCTGTGATATGCAGATGTTTCGCCCTTTCTATAAAAGAATCTCCTGAGGTTTTCTATATTCCGCAGGTTAGCTGCTTTAAGGTCAATCACGCCTCGTCCCCCTTTGGATCTTGGCAAGTAGAATCTTTCGATCGAACTCTTGGGATGTCTTGCTCTATGATTTGTAAATAAGACTCTTATGTTTCTGTTTAGCTGCTCTAAGTCAGAGTCTGTCCACTTGATTATTCCGAAGCTATATGTTATTGTCGGAATAGCATATGTGTTTGCCAATTCTTACAAAAGTGAAGCGAACTGTTCCGAACACGTGGGACTCGTTACCGCGGAATGTTATCATGTTGAACAGAATCACAAAAGACTGAAATGGTGTCTAGACAGTGGCGCAACGTCTCACTTATGTAAAGACATTAGTTGTTTTTCTGACTTTGAACGTAGACATGATCATTTGAATTTAGCAAATAGTGAATTTACGGACATTAAAGGTTCCGGAACAGCTACGTTTGTTGCTGACGTTTTTGGCGACACGAAAAACATCTCACTCCACAAAGCTTTTCATGTTCCCGACCTAAGAGTAAACTTACTTTCTGTTGCAAAGATTACCGATAAAGGATTTGAAGTTTTATTCAAGAAAGAAAATGCTTTGATCTATGATAGTAATGGTGATATAAAAGTTGTAGCCGATCGTAGTGGCGATTTATACTACGCGAGAGAAGGCGAAGCGCAGAATAAATCAGCTTTCATTTCGACCATGAATTCTAAAAATGTCAAACTATGGCATCGTAGATTAGGACATTTGAACTTTCAGGATTTGAATTCTTCATTGAAGAAAGGAATATTAGGTGGAATAAATATTGAAAATATGCCTAATAATGGGGAACTTAATTGCGAAATTTGCATACGCGGAAAAATGACGCGTTCACCATTCCCGAAGAAGTCCGACAGGGAATCGGAAATGCTAGAAATCGTACATACTGATGTTTGCGGTCCCATGCGAGTAGAATCTCACTCGAAGTACAAATATTTTGTCGAATTCATAGATGATTATTCTAGGTATTGCACGGTATTCTTCATGAAACATAAAAATGAAGTTGTGCGAAAGACTCAGGAATATATTACACTGGTCGAAAACCAAAAGAACAAAAAGATAAAGTGCATCCAATCTGACAACGGGACGGAGTACACATGTAAGGAAATGGAGGATCTCCTGAAAAAGCACGGAATTTCACGTCGCTTGACTTGCCCATACACTCCGGAACAGAACGGTATAGCGGAGAGGAAAAACCGCACTCTCTTGGATACAGCACGTTGTCTAATCATGCAGTCCGGCTTACCTCCGATCTTTTGGGCTGAAGCCATCAACACGGCCAACTATTTGCGGAACAGATGTCCATCCAAAAGTCTGAACGGGTTAACACCATACGAAAAGTGGACTGGAAAGACTCCCGACGTTTCGCATCTCAGAGATTTTGGTTGCAAGGTCTTCTGTCTAAACCAAGATCAGGCCAAGGGGAAGCTAGACGCAAGATGTAAGGAAGGAATTTTCATAGGGTATTCGGAACAAACGAAAGGATACAAGATCTGGTTGCCGAAGGAGAATAAATTCGTAATCACGAGGGATGTTAAGTTCTTGGAAAACGCAGAAGTCACATGCCAAGAATGGACAGATTTTATTCTGGAAGGATCATCCAAGGAGAATGAATCTGAGATGCATACTATCGAGGTACAGCTATCCCCAGTTGTCGAGAACGAAAATCCAGAACATGAAACTCCTACAACGGAACAAGAAGAGCCCGAGGTTGATCACGATTCTGAGCCACCCAGGCGTGCCCGCGGGAGACCCAGAATTCGGCGAACTGGTTCGAGGGGAAGACCTAGAAAGATATATAGGTACAGGACACCCCCGAGAGGTTCAGCACTCTCTTCTGAAGAGGTATTACTGTCCGAGGTCCCGATGCATCAGGCAGTCAGAGGCGAGGACGCTGACGAATGGCACAAGGCGATGGCAGACGAAGTGGCATCTATCTTGAAAAATGGTACTTGGGAATTAATCGACCGACCATGTAACCAGCACATCGTTGGAAGCCGTATTGTCCTGAGAAACAAGTACAAGCCTGATGGAACTATCGAAAGGAGGAAGGCAAGACTAGTCGCTCGGGGATTTAGCCAAAAGCCCGGAACACATTTCAACGAGACTTTTGCCCCTGTAGCAAGGCTTAGCTCCATAAGACTTGTATCTGCCCTAGCAGCACATTTAAATATGGACATGCAGCAACTGGATGTTACCTGCGCATACTTAAATGGAAGTCTAGATGAGACGATTTACATGGAAACCCCCGAATATTTGGATGAATCATTGAAGATTATTTGTGATAACTCCAAATACAACGAGGCTACCAGAAAGAAGGCTCGAGATACCTTGAACACACTGGGAAAAGGTGATAAAGTATGTCTACTTAGGAAGTCACTATACGGCCTGAAGCAAGCCGGTCGGAGCTGGTATCAGAAACTAAGCCAGACACTTAGTGAATGCGGTGCAAATCCAACTAAGTCCGACCCATGTGTATTCACTAGTAAAACAGGGGAAGACATCATGATAATTGTCACTTATGTAGACGATCTGATTATCGCATCACGTGACAAAAAGGCAATATCGTCCCTAAAAGCCAAATTATCTGAAAGATTTGAAATGAAAGATCTGGGATCAGTTAATCATTGCCTAGGGATGGAATTTTCACTCAAGGAAAACAAGATAAGTCTAAGCCAGAGAGCATATATCTTGGAAATACTAGATCGATTCAACATGGCGGATGCGAACACTGTAAGCACTCCACTTGATCCAGGAACGAAGTTAAGGAAACCGACGGAGAGCCCATCTAGTGAAGAGCTGAAGTTACCTTATAGGGAGCTTATAGGTGCGCTAACCTATCTATCGTTGGGAACGAGACCCGATATTAGCTTTGCCGTAAGCTACTTAGGACAGTTCAACAACTGTTACACTAAGGAACACTGGACAGCCGCAAAGCGAGTACTTAGGTATCTGAAGGGCACCATCGATCACTCGATAGTATACCAACGAGAAGACATGAATCTGAGAGGATTCGTTGATGCTGAATGGGCAAACTGCCCTGACGATAGGCATTCGTATACCGGATTCTCATTCATCCTATCAGGCGGACCCGTATCGTGGGAATCGAAGAAGCAAGCCACAGTGGCATTGTCTACCACCGAGGCGGAATATATGGGTACCACCGAAGCTGCCAAGGAAGCAATCTACTTGGGCAAGTTCATGACCGAACTTGGGTTCGAAAGACTCGCTAACGTAACCCTGTATAGCGACAATATGAGTGCTATAAAATTGGCCGAGAACCCAAGATATCATTCCAGAAGTAAGCACATCGACATACGTTACCATTTTGTGCGGGAGGCCTTGGAACAGAAGAAGTTTAAGTTGAAGCATACACCATCTTCTGAAATGGCCGCAGACGTATTGACGAAGGGGTTGTCGAGGACAAAACATCGGAAGTGCATGGAACTTTTGGGATTACAGACGACGGACCAGAGCCTGTATGTGTCTGCTACGTCTCGAGGGGAAGTGTTGGAACGCGTACTAGCGTCACCCCGCCGCGCCGCTACTGGCGAGACGACCAGACAGGTTGCCTAACCTAGAAGCTTGTAACCGCCGTCCTGTCCCCGCGCGCCACACCACAGAATGAAGTCAGTCGTGAAGAGTCAGTCGTGGGAAGCAGTCGAAGTACAACAACGGCCAGCACACGCGCGCGGATCGCGGAACGCGGAAGCCTGATCTACACCTGTAGCCTATCTACCTATCCATGTACATGGTACTCAATAAACTGTTCTGACCGAAGACCACTGCGAGTTGAATTGCTCTGCTTACCTATCCTCAACAATTATTATTATTATTATTATTATTATTATTATATATTATTATTATTATTATTATTATTATATATATTATTATTATTATATTATTATATTATTATTTTATTATTATTATATCTTATTATTATTATTATTATATTATTATTATTATTATTATTATTATTATTATTATTATTATTATTATTATTATTATTATTATTATTATTATTATTATTATTATTATTATTATTATTATTATTATTATTATTATTATTATTATTATTATTATTATTATTATTATTATTATTATTATTATTATTATTATTATTATTATTATTATTATTATTATTATTATTATTATTATTATTATTATTATTATTATTATTATTATTATTATTATTATTATTATTATTATTATTATTTGTTTATTTTCCACAGCCCTATCTATTCAACTGGTTCTGTCCATGTGGGCCGGTTTTGGTTGGTCATTTTCATTATGGTACTTCGAAGATGTTACCCACATCCTAACGAAGTCCATTACCTTATAGTGTCTTACGTAATATGGTTGCTGTACCATACAAAGCAATTTCCTGCACGTCTGCTGTCCTGTGCCTTCCTGGTATGAGATTTAGGTTTTCATGTAGATTGTCTGGGATCGTCCCTAATGCACCTAAAATTACGGGAACTATCTTCGTCCTCAGATTCCACATTCTTTGGATTTCAATTGAGAGATCTTTGTATTTCAATTTCTTTTCAGCTTCTTTGTTTACAACGTTTTCATCGTTGGGGACTGAAACATCTATTAGCAGGCAGGTTTTGTCACGTTGGTTTTTGACGATTATGTCTGGACGGTTCGCGGATATCTCACGATCTGTTTGCACTGGTAAGTCATATATTATGGTAATCTCATCTTTACTAACTACTGGAGTGGGATTGTGATTATACCATTTTTCTTCCACTGCGATCCCAAAGCTTATACAGATGGCATGATGCAAGTATATGCATATTTTATTATGTCGGACCAAGTACTCGTGCTTCGCCAGTTGAGGACAGCCGGATATAAGATGATCTATTGTTTCTGAGTATTGTTTGCACATTCGACATCTATCATTTGCTGTTATTTTGAGGATATGTTTCTCATAATGTCTTGTACGTAGGGCCTGGTCTTGGGCGGCCGTTATCAGGGCCTCTGTTTCACCTTTTACCTTCCCTCTCGTGAGCCACGCAAACGTTTGGCATTCATTAATCCCTGGCCTCTTAATTCTCTTCACGTATTGACCATGAAGCTGCTTTCGTATCCATTTATCCTTCAAGGTCTTCCTTGTCATGGCCTTAATATCTGTAGATAGTAATTCTTCTTCATCCTCGACCGCTTGATTTTCTATTTCCGGTAAATGTGTCTTTACAATTTTTATCGCTGACTTCACTACTGACTTTCCAACTCGAGGGTGCCTTTCACATCTCCAAATTTGTCTAACTAACTTATCATTTCTACGGCTTCTTAAATAATTGGCTATGGATACAACTGTATTATCATAAGTCATCTCTAATTGCCTGAGTCCTCTACCTCCTTCTTTACGACTCACATATAGCCTGTCTACATCAGCTCTAGGATGCAGCTGTCCATGAATAGTAAGCATCTTCCTTGTTTTACGATCTAGGTCTGCAATTTCCTTCTGACTCCAATCTATGATTCCAAAACTGTATTCTACTATTGGAACAGCTATACTGTTGATGGCTAGCAGTTTATTTCGTGCTGTTAAGTCTGAACGTAGTACCATCCTAAGCCTTCTTAGATATTCTTTACTGATGGTCTCTTTCATTTCATCATTACACAATTCTGGGTTTTCATAAACTCCAAGATATTTATAGCTTTCTCCAGCATCTAGGTTTTTGATGGTAATATTTGCCTGGACTGTTATGTTTTCCGTTTTTTCCACTTTTCCGTTCTTTATTGTCGCTTTGGCGCACTTATCTAATCCGAAGTTCATATGAATTGTGCTACTGAAGTCGTGAACTATCTTAATTTGCTCTTCAAGCGCTGTGTCCGAACTCGCGTATAGCTTTAAATCATCCATGTACAGAAGATGTGTTGTTGGCTGCTCATCTTTGAGTAGTTTATATCCCAATTTGGCTTTTGATTTAGCATTCTGGACAGGGGGTACATCATCATGCAGAACAGGAGAGGTGATAGTGAATCTCCTTGGAATATTCCAGATTCGATTTTAATCTGCGGGGTATTATTATTATTATTATTATTATTATTATTATTATTATTATTATTATTATTATTATTATTATTATTATTATTATTATTATTATTATTATTATTATTATTATTATTATTATTATTATGATTATTATTATTATTATTATTATTATTATTATTATTATTATTATTATTATTATTATTATTATTATTATTATTATTATTATTATTATTATTATTATTATATTATTATTATTATTATTATTATTATTATTATTATTATTATTATTATTATTATTATTATTATTATTATTATTATTATTATTATTATTATTATTATTATTATTATTATTATTATTATTATTATTATTATTATTATTATTATTATTATTATTATTCCGTTTTTCTGTTAGCTATTCTCTGCTACTGCAGGTGGTATCCTCAAACGCGGCATTATACTGCAAGCGTCTGAGTGTGACTATTGGTTTCTCTTTGTCTATGTGGCTACATTCAGGACCTTGCGTGCTATATGACAACTACCTAAGATAGCAGCTTTCTGAAGTGAGAGGTATAGTTTCTGCGGCAGATTTAGTTTCTCAATATATTTATGTAGACTCTTAGGTATTTCTCCTGTGGCTCCGATCACTATTGGGATGACTTCAACTTTTTCTTGATTCCACAATGTTTTTACTTCTGCAGCTAGTGGTAAGTACTTGCGAACCTTTTCTGTCTGCTTCTCAGCTATGTTATGTGGGGCAGGCACACTAATGTCAATTATGCAGGTAACTTGCTTCATTTTATCTTGAATTACGATATCTGGTTTGTTGTATTCCATGGTGTGATCTGTTTGAATTGTTCTATTCCAGTATATTTATGGCTGTTAGTTTCTATAACTGGAGTCGGCTGGTACTTGTAATATGGGGTGCGGTCAGTTAGTATGTTCGCAGCATAACAAATTTCTTGGTGAACTATTTTAGCCACGTTGTCGTGGCGCTTCAGATACTCAGTGGAAGCTAGGGGAGTGCAGCTCGTCAGGATATGCTCTATTGTTTCCGACTTGTTATGGCATATACGACATCTATCTTCAATGCCTTCTTCTTTCATGATGTATTTTCTATAGTTTAAGGTTGGTATCACCTGATCTTGAATGCCAATCATGAAACCTTCAGTTTCCGAAAATAGCTCCCCACTCTTCAGCCATCCGTGTGACGCTTCTGCATCAATGTGATCTGAGCTGAGCATGGCTGGATGTCTTCCATGAAGCTGTTTGGACTTCCATTGATGATACCATTGTTCGTCGGTGGTCACATGGGTTAGAGGTTCATAATGTTCATCCGACAGGTTCAGTGGTGTGAACTTGTAGTCAGCTGAAGCTATATTTCTGTGATATGCAGATGTTTCGCCCTTTCTATAAAAGAATCTCCTGAGGTTTTCTATATTCCGCAGGTTAGCTGCTTTAAGGTCAATCACGCCTCGTCCCCCTTTGGATCTTGGCAAGTAGAATCTTTCGATCGAACTCTTGGGATGTCTTGCTCTATGATTTGTAAATAAGACTCTTATGTTTCTGTTTAGCTGCTCTAAGTCAGAGTCTGTCCACTTGATTATTCCGAAGCTATATGTTATTGTCGGAATAGCATATGTGTTAATGGCCCTTACTTTGTGTATTGCGGACAGATGAGTCTTAAGTATTGATTTGACCCTACTCTTTGCTTTAGAACTTCTTTCATATCTTTGTGTTTGATACCCCTTGCTTGATCTAGTCCCAAATATGTATAGCTCTCTTTCTCAGACATGCTTCTTATTGTCTGACCCTGCTCCAACATAAACCCTGGGTGATCTTCCCATATGCCTTTTCTAATAGCCCCAATCTTACACTTGTCCAGGCCAAACTCCATTCTTGTGTCAGCACTGTATTTCTTTATGGTTTTAAGCAATCTGTCCAGTCCATCCTTAGTGGCAGATATTAGTTTGATGTCATCCATGTAAGCTAGATGGCTTATTTGTAGGTTGTTCTGAAGCTTATAACCTTCGTTCTTCTTGTGCAGCATTCTAGATAGAGGTGCTAATACAATACAGTACCATAAAGCACTTAGTGCATCTCCCTGGAAGATACCTCTTTTAATGCTGATGGCACCGATGTTGATATTTTCTTCTTTATGGGTTATTACAAGATTAGTTTTCCATTGAGGCATAAGGTTTGCAGCAATCTCACTATACTAGGGCTGATTTTATATATTTGGAGCATTTCAATTAATAGAGAGTGAGGAACACTGTCAAAGGCCTTTTTATAGTCAATGTATGCAACATACAGATCTTTCTTACAGCCCTTTGCTTCCTCCGTGATGATTGTATCTATTGTAAGTTGCTCTTTGCAGCCACGACTTCCCTTTTTGCAGCCTTTCTGTTCTTCTGGGAGCAGATGATGCCTTTCAAGGTGCTGGTAAATTTGATCGCATAAAATTGAAGTAATTATTTTATATATGGTTGGAAGACACGTAATTGGCCTGTATTTTGATGGGTCGCTCACAGAAGGGAATGTTTTAGGAAGCAAGTAGGTGTTTCCCGTTGTCAGA